TTACTTTGTTTTCTTGCTTGTGTCGGCAGTCGTGGCCAAAGGAGGATTCAGACAATTTTCCGAACTTTCTGGTTGGTTTCTACTGTCCGATATTGTAGCACGCTAACTTTGTTTGGGCTCCTGAACGACACGGGGGAGCAGCGTCTGCCTCACAACCAATCAGGTTAGAGGAGGTGGAGAACGGCTTTGTTTACAGTCAGAAAGAGCGGACCGCTCAAAAATGTTCAAATGTTGACGACACAGACATAAGAGAACACAGAGATATCGATATATTACCAAATGTCATCAATGACTAATAACTATTGACTGATATTAGAAGATTTTTGTATTAAAACCACAAAATAAAAAGATGGTCTCTCTTTCTCTCCCTCTCTCTCTCTCTCTCTCTCTCTCTCTCTCTCCCTCTCTCCTCTCTCTCTCTCTCCCTCTCTCTCTCTCTCTCTCTCTCTCTCTCCTCTTCTCTCTCTCTCTCTCTCTCCTCTCTCCCCCCTCCCCTCCCCTCTCTCTCTCTCTCTCTCTCTGTTTCAACAGATTCCTGTCTACTCCACCTTTAAGTCGGTTTCCATCTTCTTCCATGTGGACCAGACTTCTTTTTACTCAGACTAGAGATCAGCTGGACTAACCCAACTTTAAAGACGTTTAAAAACTTTACAAATCCAGATTAACTCTAAAGAGTCAGGGATTAACGGGATTAAAGTCGTTTTTACATGAAGTTTGTCTTTAAATCCAAATCTCTCTCTGTCTGTATCTCTAAGTTTGGACTGACAGAAGTGAGAGACGTGAGTTTGACCACAGAAATAAGTCTCATTTCTCTTTATGGTCAAAAATAAACTTGAACGGAGCGGTAACATGACATCCAGCAGAAACAGACACAATAAAGACAAACAGACGAGGTGATTTCAGTGACTCAGTTTGAGGATTTTTATGATTTTTTTACCCACAATCAGAGACTTGACCACAATCTGAGCTGAGTCAGAAACATCCAAACAGTCGGACTAATAAATGTGATTATTATTATTAGAGTGATTGAAAAGCTCATAACAACATGTAGATCTGTCCAAAGTCTGATTCTAGATGTCTTTACAAACACACTGATCCAACAGAAGCAGACAGAAATATCCATCGATCACATGAACACAAATATTCAGCAAACAGAGAAAGAAACAGATCATCTGAAGAGTTTTTGGGGACGACTGGAAAGACTTTAGACGCTTGGATTTGGGACAGGAAATAAGGTCGTCCTTTTTCTGTGATTTTGACCTCACTTTTTTCTAAAGTCTCAGACCTTCAACATCTGCACCAACTGAAGGTGATTTGAACAAACCATCATCTTGATGTTGTTGATATCAAACTGTATGAAGATTTTTCAACATGAGAAATACAAACAATCAAAGTTCTCCACAATCACTGTCCTTAAAGCTGCGACCAAATCAGCATCTTTAGAAAAGAATCAAAAAGCTGAAATGAAGAACTAAACCCAGAGTTTTTGGTGAGACTGATCCACAAACATTTACAAACCAGAACATTTCAAGAGTTCAAGGATCTCAGTCCATGATTTTGGTCTGATGGACTCAAAATTCTCTTTAGTTCACTTCTATAAACTCAGCAGAGGCTCCAAGGCCTAACCACAGTCCAGCATGTAGAGGTTCAGTGAATGTGGTCTGGACTCTGTGGAGGAGAGTCATGGTTTTATAGACGCTGTAGAAGGACAGAATACCTGCTCTGTGATCCAGGTACACTCCTACTCTGGAGGACCGAGGAACTGAGACAGGAGTGAAGACTTTGTTGTGAACAAATTTATAACCAAATACAGAACAGAATAACCTCCAAGATTTGTCATTGAATCCAAATAAACAATCCTCTGATCTCCCGTCTCTCCTGATAGTCTTGTATGCGACTGCTACACCAACCCCGCCCCCTCTCCAGTCCACCTCCCAGTAACAACGTCCAGTCAGACTCTCTCTACTCAGGACCTGAAGATAATAAGTGAATCTGTCTGGATGATCAGGATAAGACTGTGGTTCTTCTCCTGTCCATGTTGCTCTTCTGTTTCCATCAGATAATAACATATTTCTGTTCACTGTGTTTGGATCCAGTGTGATTCTCTGTGAATATCTTAAGAAACCAGCTCTGGTCTTGGGTTCTGCTGGTCCTGGTGGTTTCTAACAGTAAAACATCCACTTTAGTCACTGCCTGTGAGACGTTTGTCCACGTCTCTGTCAGAAGATCCTGGAGTTTCTCTCTGACCTCTGACACAGCTGCTGTCACCTCCTCAAAGTATCTCAGAGGACAGATGTTGATCCTGGATGAGTCTGCAGGTTGACCCGGTCCTGACAGTGAGGGGTAGCTGTGCAGAAACTGGTTGTGGTCCTCTGTGAGTGAGAGCTTCTGCAGATCAGCGTCTTTCCTCTTCAGCTCAGTGATCTCCTGCTCCAGTTTCTCCTGAAGTTCTTTGACTCGACTCACTTCACGTTCCTGCTGGGATCTGACCTGCTGCTCCACCTCAGAGCGGCGTTTCTCCATCAGACGGATCAGCTGGCTGAAGATCTTCTGGCTGTGCTCCACAGCTTTATCAGCAGAGCCGTTGATAGCCTCCACCTCCTGTTGGAGCAGCTTCACATCTTCTTCTCTGTCCTGGATTCTCTGCTGGATGTTTTCTCGACTCTCCTCCAGATCTTTCTGCCTCTCAGTCCTTTCTGCTGCAGCTGAGACTGTGTCGTGACCTTTGTGTTGGTCCAAACAGCAGAGATGACAGATGGACTTCTGATCAGTGCGGCAGAAGATCTTCATCACCTCATCATGACGAGAGCAGATGTTCTCCTGGAGCTTCTTGGAGGGCTCCACCAGCTTGTGTTTCTTAAATGAAGGTGATTCAAAATGAGGCTGGAGGTGAATCTGACAGTAAGAAACCAGACATTGAAGACAGGACTTGACAGCTTTCAGTTTTCTCCCACTGCAGAAATCACAGGCCACATCTTCAGGTCCAGCCTCAGAGGAACCATCAGGAGCAGCTTGGAGTCCGCTCTTCTTCAGGTCCTCCACTAAACCTGCTAACATGGTGTTTTTCTTCAGGACAGGCCTCGGTCTGAAGGTCTCTCTGCACTGAGGACAGCTGTAGATCTTCTTCTCATCCTCAGTATCCCAGTAGGATTGAATACAGCTCATGCAGAAGCTGTGTCCACAGGAAACAGTCACCGGATCCTTCAGAAGATCCAAACAGATGGAACAAGAGAGAGACTCACGGTCCAGATGAACTCCTTTCTGCGCCATTTCAACACTCGCTGTCGACGACGACTGACTGAGTTTTATTTCCTGGTCTGAGCTCTGATCTAAAGTCAACTCAGTTTATGTTGGTTACACCCATCTTCAGACTTTGGACCTGATAAGATCTGGGAGAGGTTATCAAGATTTTTTTATAATCCAGGAAGAGGAGTGTCTCTGTGAACTTTAGACTCTCAAACTCCAACAAGCAGAAGTTCTTAAAGCTGCAGCCGTCCTGAAGATCAACTGAACCAACATTTATTCACCTCATAGAAACCTCATCGAGCAGAAACACACTTCAACTGTTTTAGAGCCACAGAGTTAGAGATACAACACAGAGAAACACTCTCTCTCTCTCTCTCTCTCTCTTAAGCCCCGCCCACAAACAGACGCTCCTGCTCGCTCGTATCGTTCCAATTAAATTCAGATATAATGCAGATAAATACTTCAGATCATTACAAATGGGGCCCAGTCAAGGTGAAAGTCAAAAGCATTGGTGCTACTGTAGATGCCAACAGACTGCCAGCAAACACAATGTTTGCAGGACTTCTACAACGAGGATAAAGTGACATAGTCCAGGACCCGAGGGAGGACAGTTTAGCGATGGCGCTACAACACGCTACAGCAGGTCCGTTTGACAAGAAACACTTCTGTTACAGACACTTGTCTTACTTTGTTAAAGCGGTTTACCTGTCCAGCAGAAAGGTTACAGGGTCACCAAGATCCCCAAGCGTCCCCCATGGTTTATGTTGACCCGGCTTTTTAGCTCTTGTCCGGTCTACCTCCGTTTTAAGCGCCCGTTATTCCTCCAGAGTCTCCGGTATTTACTTTGTTTTCTTGCTTGTGTCGGCAGTCGTGGCCAAAGGAGGATTCAGACAATTTTCCGAACTTTCTGGTTGGTTTCTACTGTCCGATATTGTAGCACGCTAACTTTGTTTGGGCTCCTGAACGACACGGGGGAGCAGCGTCTGCCTCACAACCAATCAGGTTAGAGGAGGTGGAGAACGGCTTTGTTTACAGTCAGAAAGAGCGGACCGCTCAAAAATGTTCAAATGTTGACGACACAGACATAAGAGAACACAGAGATATCGATATATTACCAAATGTCATCAATAACTAATAACTATTGACTGATATTAGAAGATTTTTGTTTTTTGATGCTTCTTTAACAGATTCCTGTCTTCTCCACCTTTAACTCTCATCAGCTTTGACAGAAACGAGCTTCGCTTGTTTTCTCCTAAATACCGAGGGCGGTGCTGCTGCTACCACAACGTGACCCCTGTCCACCGTCTTTCTCAGATTTTCAAAAGTTCCTTCAACTTTTCCTCCAACATCTCTCCTTCCATCTCGTACCAGAGAAGCAGCTTCAGCTCCAGAAACCCCGGCATGGATAGAGATGCTCACGGCACAGCGAGAGCAAGACTTTCAACAGCCACATAAAAAAGTTGAGTCTTTTTTCAGCGTTGCATTCTGGTCTTTGGAGGCTGCTGTCAGAGAGCGGCTGTTATCTGTGCTGCTCCTGTGATGGATTTCTCCCTGCACGGTTGCTGAAGGCTTGTGAAAATGGTAAGTCTAAAAAAAAGCCTCTCTCTTTGATTCGGAGGGACTGACACAGAAACCTGACATTTAATGTTGAAGCTTTATATACTTAAAGATATTTCTGCTGTCAAGCTTCATTGTAGCTGCGCTGGAAATATCTTGACACCGGATCAGCGTCTCCATGACTGGGCTGTTATCCACAGGAATGAAATAAAGGCACAGGAAGTCAGAGAAATGTCACCGGCAGGTACTTGAGTTTTTTCCTCTTTTTATATCCAACATTATGAGTAAAAATCGCTCTGATTACATTCACTCAATAGAGAATCACGTCCAGTTTCAGCTCAGTCTGGATGGTGAAACTGGACCAAATAGAAAATTCAACATTACCGTTTCTCTGGAGGCTTTAATGTGTCAGAAAAGTGTTTAAAACACTTGCTGCTCGTCTTTAAATCCCTTATTAGCCCAGGACTAAAATCCATCTCTGTCCTTAACTGAATAAACCCTCAGACTCTCATCAGGCTGCTCACTGAGCAAAAGACTACACCGAGAAAAGCAGATTAACTTGTGCAGAAGAGAGTGACAGCCACTGAAAACGGTTCTTTAAGGTCCGATCATTTTTCTTCAAGTTTTGACTTTTATGTCAAAAGTCTGAGAAGAAAAGTAAAGTTGAAAATTCAGTCTTATTTTTTCTGTTTTTTTTTCAGGCGTCCTGCAGAGTTTGAAAAATGAAAATGCTGCAGCAGAGCGCTGACCAGAACCAGGAGAAGAGAGCACTTCTGTTAGCCTCTCTTCACTGACTTCATAATAAATTTAGACTCAAATAAAAAACTCTTCTTCAGATGGTCAGGCACCATCATGTCCGGAAGAGCTCGTAGTTCACGATTATCCTCCCAGAACACTCCGGTCTCAGCATGCAGACCAGCTCATCGTACCTAAAGTCTCACAAAGCGGTTCAGGGTCCCTGTAGACTCAGAGGAAGCTCAAAACCTTTAGATCGGCACATTGAGCTCCTCTCCATCCTTCTCCGTCCTCTGTCTGTCTCTGAATCCTCATGTCCCATTAGAGTCACTGATTCAGTCTTTATGAGAGTCCCTGAGCTCCATCATGTCACGCGTTCCTCTGGATCTCTGCTGCAGATGTGAAGCTGCTGTGGACCGGTCTGGTCTCCAGCTGCTTCAACTACAGACATCAGTCTCTCTTCTCTCATCTTATCAGTCTTATTGGCAACACATGAATAATGATTGACTGACTGATGGAAAATGGAAGTTTTTGGAAACACCTTCCCATATTTGAAATGAGATTAAAGTAAGAATATTATGGATGTCAGTCCTCAGACTTTTTCTCAGAGGTTTATTTTTATTATTAGTTTTAAAGAAGAAGTAAGAATGTGACAAAAGGTCCGGACTTTTAGGGGTAGACGTTTGAAACCTTAAAATGCACGCTCAGGTCGCATGAATTAACTTTTTCCGAGCTTCTAATCCCAACAAAAATCTCAGCTGAGTTTCTGATTTTAACTTTTAAAGGGTTCATATTTGGTTGAGCGTGCCTGGATCAGCTCCGGTGTTCGTCAGGGTATCGTAGACTCTTCGTCAAAGGTCATAGTTCGTTAACTTTTCGAAGTTATTGTACCCCCCCATACAGAGTCCACTGTGTTTGATCATTTCTATCCCTGAGCACATCTACAGTATATGCTGATTTTCTAGTATATCTATAGCTCCCCTTTAGAAAAAGACGGTGCTGACGTTATATGTGTAACTTTAATATGACCCTTTAAACTGACGTTAACTTTTACAAACACATTTTTATGCTTTAATTTTCCTCCCTCACTTCTAAGTGCCTTAATGTAAAACCAGCGAAGAGCCGCGTCGCTGCACTTCCTCCTCAAACGTACAGATTTCCTCTCACAGCAGGGGTCCTCTAAAGTGGTTTAAAGAGGCCTTAGAGTGACAGAGAGAGAGAGGGAGAGAGAGAGAGAGAGAGAGAGAGAGAGAGAGAGAGAGAGAGAGAGAGGGAGAGAGAGGCTTCAGATGGATTCAATCACACACACACACACATGAAAACACATCACCACCGAACTGAATCTAACGCAGCGCTGAAATGTCACAGACGTGTGGCGACAAAGAAAAGTTATCTCAGAGTAGAAACGTCCATCATTACCTGAGGACTGAATCTACTGTAAACCGACTTCCTGTGGAGAAGAAAACGACATAATTTTATCTTATTTTTACCTGCAGTAGCATTAGAGCGAACCACAGAGGTCGAACTGTTCTCCTGAATGTGCGGCACACGTTTATCTGAAATGAAACTGTGAAAGCCGTTTCCTGGACTGAGCCAGAACCGCTGATGATTTGGAGTCATTGTCATGTGGGGTAAGAGGATCCATGTTTCATATGTGGGATCAGTCCATCAAGTCAATCCTGGTTTAGTCTCTAACTCGTGACAGATAAACTGTCCTGTACCGATGAAGGGAGGTTAGAGTCACAGACCTGTCCAGCACTTCCACTCATTCAGATAAATTCAGCTTCTTTCTGTCCGGGCTGAACTTTCCTGATCCAAAATCTCTTCAAATAAAATGTTGGAACTTACTCATGTCGATATTTCAGTCAGAAAATCTTCAACATGAGTGACGGCCACGCCTCCTCGCTGAGATGAGTTTCTGCCTCACTCTGAGTTTCTCTGAGATCCTCAATCATTTGCAGATACAGGACCTGTCTTCTCTCTTTCAGAAAGTCTCTGTTCTGTGAAATAATCCGTCTGAATTCACTGTGAAATCTTCTGTTTACTTTAGTAAAGCTGCAGAAAAACTCAGAAACCCACTGAGGTACTCATCGACTTATAATTCATGCAACAACAACAACAATCCACGTCCAACTTTAGCGCTGACCTTCTGACCTTGATTTTTCATGGATTATCTGAAACACTTTAAAGACCACAGATCCTAATCCTTCTTTGTGCTCGACTATAAACTCATCTCTCTAAAGATCTCTCCATTTGTTTTCTTCACTCTTGTGTTTTGATCATTTCTAAAGTTGGTAAAGATCAGACTCTCTATAGGACCTCTTCATCGTCCGTCTGCACAGCTGAGGGATAATCGCACTGATGAATTCTCCCGTAGAGACGGTTTACTGTTAATCACAAACACTTATGGAGGAATTTCACTCAAATTTGTGACAGAAAAGCAGAAAAAACATCATTTCAGCCGCCGGATCATCTGTAAAAAGAGCGAGAGGGTCTGATCTCTGCTGCCTTTAATGAAGTGAGGTACAGCTGTGAACTGACTGCAGCTTCTAGTATAGATTTTTCAGAGCAGGACCTGCTGGTAGACACACACAGACACACACACACACACACTGAAGAACAGCTTCACTCTCTCATCTCTGCAGGATCTCACAGGGAGCTGCTAGAAAATATGAGAGAGGAGAATCTTTGGACTCTCAGAGATGTGGAACTCAGCGCCCCCTCAGGCCTGGAGGACCTCTTTCTTTGCGTCTTTCTTCGCAGCTTTTACAATTCTTTTGTTCCTTTTTATCCCGAACCGTTGTGTTAGATTTAAGGTCCTTTCACACCAGGAGGGTTTTTTTCGTACTGTGTGTCCACCTCTGACCAATCAGATTTCGTGTTGTTGTGATGTCAGATTCACCGGTATATCCAACACGGCCGACCGGCTGATTGTTTCCGTGTCGGAGAACAGAGTGATTTTTGATAAAGGACGACTTGTGGAGAGTCATAGTGTCGGATTTCTCATCCGACGATGGTTTGTGAGTTTTAACAGTTTGATAAACGTCTTTGTTTGAACTTTCATCTGTGCTAAGTAACTTTAGCTCGTAAGCTAACCTGTTCAGATACAACATACCATCTGTATTTTCACTAGGGCCCGACCCATAGGGATTTTTTGAGGCCAATGCCGATTAGTAGGGGGGACAAAAATCAGATTACCGATTGATTGGCCAATTTTTTAAAATTTGTTATGAAGTTATAAAAAACGTAGATATACTGTAGGCTACTGCTCTTCATGCTGACAGGAAGACCGACTGATCAAACTCAGACCAGAAAAGCATTTTCAGATCAGTCACTCTGCTGTGCTGTGAGGTAGTTAGTGGATGAAGATTGTCATGAGGTCGCTGCGCCATCTACAGGATAAGTCGGGGAACTTTTCAAATGGCGGAACGTTTTCAAAGTGAAACTGAATCTTATTCTCTGCATTTTATTTCTGAAAATATCTGCAAAAATCGGCAAGTTTTGGCGGATTATCGGTTAGTCTCAAACGGGCTAAAATTGGCCGATAAATCGGTCGGTCCCTACTTTTTACTGTCTCAAACTCAAGCAGCACCATCAGGTCTCGGTTGTTCCCTTATGTTTATGGATTATAGTTTCATGTTCTTATCTGGTTCTGACTCAGACTCAGTCCATGCGATCATGACAGACAGACATCTCAACACTAGAGTCTGATCAGAACTGAGAAACACTCAGTCTGCTGTTGTGTTTTCTGTTTCAGTAACTGTGGCGTATGGTAGCTCTTATTATTTTTAAAGCAGTACCAATTCACCATCACTTATAGTTGAAGTAGACTCCATTTTTGTCTTCTCGCTTCCACCCCGGATGCGCCTTTTTTTTTCCCCCTTCAAAGTCGCAAAATCACATCGCACTTGATGTGTATAGTCAGGCGCGTTCGTAATTTCACGTCCTATACTTGCGTCGTTCCTGGTGTGTAATGACCTTTAGACTTTTGCAGCTGTGTAGTTTCTTCATTTGCAGATAGTCGGTTGTTCAAAAACCTTCATACTCTTCTCCGGTCTCCGTTCCGAACAGGCCGAGTAAATAAAGACACAGACATCGGTATATTGCATTTTCTTTAGTACTTTACATATAACGGGAAAATACAAGGGTTTGTTTCCAAGAGAATACAGGAAATTTAACAGTGCTCTGTACAATAACATATTATTGTGAGTGTGGCGGCTGCTCGGCACAGCTGACAGAGCTGCGCAGTTTTCCAGTGTGGGGGGGGCAGAAAGGTACAATTCAAGATGTTCAATTACATGTTATAAGAAGTTTCTATTAGCAGCTTGAAGAAAATACAAAAGAGCAACATGTGCACCTTCACCAAAGCAGCGCCACGAAATCAACTGAAGAGACATGAAGTGTTGAGAGGAGGCGGACAGACGGTGTAAAAATGATGTAAAAAATCAAGCTGCATCATTTTCTGGGCAACTATTTACAAACAGTGTGACTCGACCAACAGAGGAACGAACTCAAACAAACACAAAGAGAGGTGTGTGTGTGTGTGTGTGTGAAGCTGCTATTAGATACTTGATCTTTGATAGAATCACATCGGGCTGACCACAGGTGTAGTAAAGACTCCTACATTCATCCTGAGAAACCATCATGGAAAGTCCAACGTCACGCCCTCTCTGAGTTTCACGGCGAATCGTGGCGATGCTGAGGATAAAGGTCGGGCTTGGACTGTCGGACAAAAACGACACCGCGTCTCCTCTAGACGTTAAAAAGGGTGAACGTTATCACAAACCTGAACCAGGTCACTGCTCATTTCAACCACATGGCACAAAGAGAGGGCATGCAGAAAACCAGACCCTTGAAACCCCGATCCAGGACTGAGGACCTTTCTGATGTTTCTATTTACATGTAGAAACTGAACGGAGATGGAAAATAATCTCATGTTGAATTTAAGGTCAAAATCTAAGCCTCAATGTCGCTGAAATTAAAGCTCCTGTGAGGGACTTTCAGTTAATGTTGACTTTGGCGCCCCCTGTGGACAAAAGTGTCTTTGCTTCTCTGGTGATTTTTGACAAAAATCTCAAACGTCTCAGAATTTAGTGACTTTTTTTTACGTGTCGATATTTGAGTTTAGAAACAATCAAAAGGCGTCGGTGTCGTTTTCTTCCGCTTCATCCTGGTCCGGGTCGTGGGGGCAGCAGCTTCAGGAA